GGTTGACATAATAGTCTGGGGCCAATATCCTGCTATGTGTATTTAAATAATTTCATTAATAGCTGGGTGTGGTGATAGTCAGGAGAATGGATTGGAAACGTAAGTATTCAAAGTGGAGGTAACATCTAAGGTGGGTTTCGTCTGTGTTCGTTACTTTCCTTGAGGATTTTGACTTGCAAGGCACATCATTTTTGCATTTGAGCCTAAGAAGTCATTCCTACAAACAGATGCAGCTATGACCTGACCTTATAGTCACTTGCTCCAATGAACCCTGATGCTTCTCTAACAGAGATTTACCTTTCCCTGGGGAGTGTTCAGTGACCACCAAAATGTGTTTTAAAATTCAGGGCAGCATCTCTCAGCTGTGAAAAGCAAATCTTTTATCCATTTTTATTCCTTTGTTCAGCTTTCTAATTCTGAATTGTAGATTGTAACAGCACACACAAAAAGGTAATTCTATTCACAAGCAATGAGTTATGGTAAATTGTCTAGAGTGGGTTTTAAATTTTTTTCTATAAGAGAAAAACAAATTATAGCTTTAACATTTTAGCTGCGTCTGAGGCAATCACAAAGGAACAATAGGTTAATCAATATATCCAGAAACTTTATCTAAAAAAAGAAAATCTACTCATAATAATTATCCCTGGTGGGTTGTTTAAGAGACGAAGTACAGCAGAAAAGATGGTGATTGATAGCTAGGAATTTTTGGCAGCTGTAGCCTTTGAAGCATGAAATACATTAGCATTGTCTCCTAATGCCTTCAATAATTGTTCTGAGTTGATGCTTGTGTTATGAAAAAGGTGCTCAATTTATTCACAAAACAGCCGGTGGTTGAGCAATTTAACACATATAAATAAAATGACCTCGATTTTTTCAATTGACGCTTATGCAAAAGACAGTGTCAGAAATAACTTACACCATACATAATTGATAAAGGCCTAACTTGGTGTTCTTTACTGAAACAGTTTTGTCCTTTACAAGTTATTAAATATTACAAGCTTCCAGTTAAATTTATTGTATCATTATATATACAGTATAGAGTCTGCTATTGTAAGGAATAACTGTCATGAAGTTAAAGAGAAAAAAAGTGATTCTTAGGCACTGCATTTGGTCATTAAATGAAACTTTATTTTAAAAAATTATGTTTAAAATTTATCTTTAAAAATTATTCTAGTTCTTAAATGGTATTCAGAGCAATATGGTCACAACATAGGCTCTATTGGATAGCAAGAGATGTTTCCTTTAATTAGATTTTTCCTTGAATATAACCTGATAGAAGAAAAATAAGTGGTTTTATCACAATTAGGAAAGTTTAAGACATCAGTGTTTGGGACACTTTTGTCTATCTTTTTCTAACAGTATGAGTAGGGAACTGTTTCAAGACTGCATAAAATCCTGCAATTTTTAGTACATTGCTTTTCTTAAGCACAGATCCATTAAAATAACAATGTTTGAGGGGATTATCATTGCATAAAATGCAAAGTACTTTTTTGCTGTTTCCAAACCACATTAACACCCATTAGCTGTCTCTCTTTTTTTTTTTTTTTTGCCTCCAAACCAATTTCTGAAACATTTCAGCAGATATTATTGCTACCAGCAGATGAATGTAATAATCAGATCTAGAATCCAGGTTTTCTCCTAATTGCTTCCTGTTCATTTATGCATTATGTTATATGAATTATGATTTAGGAATCTATGCAATGTAAGTTATAAGAATTCCGACCTTAGAAGATTGAAAATGGTGAAATTCTTGTTCAGTTAACTGCAAGGCTGCATATGTGTGTGTGTCTATGTGTTTGTGTGATTGAGAGAGACACAGAGCGAGAACCTAATGCAATCACGTGCTCCATAAATTTTAACCGAGGAGGCAAACTGAGAGCATATCAACAGGAGGCCATGAAACCGTAAGCTCTTCGAAGCCCAGGTCCACCTATGCTTCACCCTCAGGCTTAATCCCTGCTAATAAATTATAAACAAATGACGAAATGTCAAGAAAAGGACCAGAGAAGGGACCTTCAAGAAATTTATTCATGAGCTGTCTAGTATATGTGGTTGATAGTTCACCAACATGTCCAACTCAAGAAAAATGGTCGCTGTATTTCCTTTGAAAGATGAGGGCAATGTTTACTGTAGGAGGTTTGGTTGAGAAGTACAATGGTTTTAAAGATGCACATTGGGATTAGGAGCTGAACTAGAAAAAAAGGCAGACAAATGTCAGTTCCTAGAGAAACGTCAGGGGTAAAAGAGAAAAGCCAGTGTTGGGCCTGGGAAAAGGTGAAGGTGAGGAATCCCCGATGGTGGGTGAGAGAAATGGAAATACCAAGTAGGATTTTTGACCTGTTAGGGTAGGTTTAATTAGGTAAACCCCCCTTTTCCATAACTCCTCAAAATCTTTAGTAAAGTCTGTATTGCACACTACTATGTTTGTGTATATATCTGCTCCTGTTTTGGGGTGTGTGTATGTGTGTGAGGGAGAAAGAAAGAGAGAGAGGGATAGAAACAGAAAGAAAAATGTTATTGTGAGTAAATTGTGCTGGATTTTTTTTTTTTTTTTTTTTTTGGTTGATGTGAAAGTAATATTCATATCCCAAAATTTTATTTACAAGTTTTAGGATGAAGGATCCACTCATACCTGAAAGGATATATATATGTGTGTAGATATATATATGTGTGTGTGTATATATATATATATATATGTGT